CCTGAAGATAAAATCACTCCACTGAATGGATATTTACTGTATATAATTTTGTGACATTTTTTAAATGATTTTATTGAGAAACAAATAGCAATGAGACAGTTTCAAAACAGATTATTAGCACAGTTTCAATAATTAATATATTGCATATTGTTGTCTTAGTGGTTATTCATTGTACAACATGCAGACAACATGCCTGCGTGTCACTTACTACCTAGAGTCCAGTTCTGAGCAGCGCAGAGCTAGCTGTCCTCTGTAACAGAGGGTGTTTAACATCCTTGACCCCGACCCTGCCACACTGGGTGTTTGATGTTCGTTGAGACAACACAAACCCACGCGTTTCCAAACTCTCCCTGAAGGTGAAATCACCTCTAGCTGAGAATCGCCGCAGAGCTAAAGGATCAGCCGTCAGGGCCGAAAGGGTCTCTTGTTGATGGGTCACATATACTCCACCCAGTCTTTTCCCTGAGTTTCCTCAAATATTCCTCAGAAAGTTTGTCATTTATCATAAAAGATGTGACTCTGGAACATCTAAGAGAGATACATAGGATAGGATTGGCCCATAGTGTTAAGTGGCTTGAATGTAATTGTGCAAAGAACCAGCAAAGGTTTTTTGTTTTTTTAATGTACTTGGCTATTGCAGGATCTCACTGTGCAGCGTGGGCTCTTGGCGATGATCCTTCTGCCTTCAGCCTCCCTAGTGCTGGAGTTACAGGCGTGTGCCACTATGCTGCCGGGACTCTGGCCGGCTCAGCCCGCCCTGAGGGTGGGGCTGGCGTGGCATGTGTTGCCAGGGATTGAGCCTGCAGTCCCTGTGCTTGCCTAGGCTTGCCTAAGAGGCACTTTAGTCTGCTGAGCTATCTTACCAGCCCCAGCAAAGATTTTTGAGAAGGAAAATAGCAAATAAAAGGCAGCACTGCACTCTACAGAGAGTGAATGTGGAATTATGTGTCCTACAATGTGACATGTCACATGACCAGTCAGGACTGAACTCCTCGAAGTCAGTAAACCTCTTTTGTCCTCTAACATTGTAATGAGAGTATACATGGTAAGTATGCAAAATATTAATTAATGTGAGAAGTAATTAAATTTATGAAGGAAAGTTAAAATAGTGCCTCTCTAGGTGGCGTAGTGTTTGGTGTTTTTTCTTAGCATCACTTCGGAGGCTCACAATTTAGTTCACTTCTGACATTAACTATCTGTAGTTAATACAGACCCCATAAAATCAAGCTCAGTTCCACAAAACTGCTGCCGTGGCAGGTACCAGTTGCTAAGCCCAATAATTCTGACTTTAAGATGGTAGTTATAAATTTGGGGGTAGGGGCTGG